AGTTTCAAAAAGAGTCATTTCTAATGGACATATGCAATAATTTTTTTATTCGGTACCTTAAAGGTGATAAGTAGCCTCCTTGATAAGATAAAAAGTGACAATTTAGTGAAATACATTTAATGCACCAATGAACACTTTACTCTACAAAGAAGAAAGACGAATATAGACAAAGCAATCCATTTGAGAGATGCTCAAGGATTTGCAACAGTCATTTTCATGAAGTATCTATATAAAGGAGCTTGAAGACTTAAAAAAATAGAGAATATCATTTTTGTAAAACTTCATTCGTTATTTTTGTATAAGTGTTGTACTTAATTTCATTGTATGACGTCTTGTAAGTAAAACGAAACAAGTGATTTCTCAATTTTAACTTTATGTTATTGCTTAAAGCCTGAAATTTTTTTGTTGTAAATAATACTTGGTTATTGAAGCCTAAAGAGACTTTGTTGTTCAAAAAATACTTGGGTAGCTTTTTAAAGAGGAAAGTGAAAGAATATTTAGGTTAAGCCAGAAGTGGCTTGTGAAAGAATACTTGTAATTTTGTAAAAAATTGTAGAACTTGATTAAGTGGATAAAAAACTGGACGTAGTCTTGGTGGTTGAGATAAACCAATATAAAACTACTTTGTGTTCTTTTCCCTTAATTTTTTATTTGCACTCTTAAGGTCTTGATACTACTTTATTGTTTCGAAAAAGTGTAGAGTTTTTGATTGACACTATTCAACCTTCCTTCTAATGCCTTTCTTTTCTTCACACCTTTTTATTACTTAATTATATTTACACTTTATCCCTTCGCATTTTGTCTCAATTATGATTTTTATGCTCATCTCTTACCTTTGATCATTTTTCTCCATTACTAGGTATTATATCTCATGGTATCTCGTCTTTTTTATTAGTTATTATCCTTTTACAGACATATGTTTCAATTATAAGGTTTCCTACAAAACACTAATTAATTTTCTTATTAATTCTTGTTAGTCTCGCATACACACAACCTTTTCCATTACCAACTTTTGTTATATTATTTAACTAATGGAATTTCATTTTATAATGGCAAGCAAGGGAGCAGGACGAGTGTGCTCCCTTGAAGCATGGGTGTGCTTCAATCTAAGTGTAGGTGTGCATGCCTTTAAGCATGGGTGATAAAACAATTTTTGTATATCTTTCTATGAATTATTTTTTGTTTATTTGACTTTTATTAGTATCATATTGTAATATATTAGCTTTGATTTGTTCTAGTGAATCATTTTGGTCTTAGTTGAAAATTTTAGTTAATTCACATAATTTTCTCCTATTTTGACATTGTTTCTTGTGCATGCCATATCTAGAGCTCCCAACATCGAATTTAGATGTTCTTGGTATCTCTGGAAAGACTAGAGAGAGTTATACATCTTCTCTGTTTGGAGAAAAGGCCAATTTGGACATTAAGAGACCCAAAATTGCATTGCAAAGTTTCAGCCCTGCACAATATGTTTTTTTTTATATATATAGATTGTAAGAATTTTTTTAGTAATGTAACTAGTTGATTTAGTGGGCTGGGTTTTTAATTACTTCAATTAGGCCCATTAGTGTAGTCTATAAATAAGTGTAACACATGTACACTTATCATATATCTCATTTTTCAGAAATTGAGTTGCTTCTCCTAGAAGTTTCTCAAAATTCTCTCTCTCTCTCTCTATTAGATTTTATCTCTTGATTACACGAATTGGATTGTTGCAACATGATTATGATGCATGACTAGTTCGTTGACCAATTCTAGGTTTCGAGAACTTTGATAAAATTCGAGTTCCCGATCTTTTTATTGAATGAATTCTCTGTTTCTCTTCTTCTCTATATTAGGTTTTTCTTTTGTTTTTAATGATTGTGAATTTTGTTTTGGATCTAAAATAGAGATTGAAGATTAATTTTAAATATAAATTTAGACCTAAAATAACCTAAATTGTCTAATTCAACCATATATTCACCATTCTTGAATTTTATTAAAATTGTAAGATTGCGATTGCATTTCATATTTTGATGGAATTCATAGATCTAGATTTAGATCTACATTTTTTGATTAAGTTTATATTGAATTAGGTTGATTGAGAATTCAGATTTATTGTTGAACTATGACAATTTTAACATACAAATTGAAACCTTGAAGTGAGACTTCTTTGGTTAAATTTATGATTTCTAATTTTCTATTTGTTGATTGAATACTATTCAAATATTAAAAATTCCCTTCCTAATTGTGTGATAAAATACAAATTTAAATATGCTTGTTTCTTCGTAAATAATGGCCTAGGTTTTTTCCTGTATTACAAATTTTTAGGAGAAATATAGTAAATTTTGATAGTGATTCGAGAATGCTATCAATGGATGTGCTTTCCCACTAAACCTAACATGAATGTGAATTCTTCTAAGCACGATTGTGGTTCACTCATTTGTCCCTATCACGAGAAAACTTCCCCAAAGTATAGCCATGGTGGCATGATGTGCTTCACTTAAGCATGATTATGCTTATCATTTTAGAGTTGCAAAATCACATTAAGCTCGATTGATTTGTACGTGTTTCTCACCTTTTCTTTCTCTATTTTTACATCATAAGATAAATTAGTCAAAGGGTTATATGTTCTCAATTACTCAACACTCTAATTAATCACCTCCAATTCAAACATTATGTACTAATAAATTTAAAATCAATGCAGTTACATAAAATTCTCAAATCATGCATTCAACCTTAACCCCCATCTAGCAACACAAAATATGATGTCATTATAAATCATGACATCATAATAAATAAAAAATTATGATAATACATACCTATGCAACAACAATTCAATGAATACCACATTAACTCCATTAAACGAAAGAAATTATAAACTCTAAGGAGGCTTTTAGATTAGGGGTGGAAAAAAGAGCTGTGGACCACTAATTATTGGTGGGTCAGACCCATCATTCTAAACTGCCAACCTCGTCAACCTACTGGCCCGCATTTGAGGTTCTTGTTAAAAAAAAAATAGTATTTTGCAAGTTTGTAATTTGGTTTTAATTTTGTTGTAATTGGACTAATTTCTATTTGATTTTGTTGTAAGTTTGTAATTTGCTTTTGTTGAACATATATTATGCACAATATGTATGCATTTTCAATTTCATGTGTTTATATTATTTATTTATAGTAATTTTTTTATTCGAACATAAGATGTATTTTTTTGTAATTTTTTAATGGTATGCGGGCTGGCCTTAGGCAAGACGGGACAACATTCCTAGCTCGTTTATGGCGGGCTAGCCCGACCCGACCTGGCCTATTCTTGGCGAGCCATTAGCGGACTGGGTCAAAACGGTCGAGCTGGCCCGTTTTGCCACCCCTATTTGAGATCACTTCACTACTTATATACGTCTATACAGTAAGATAATCTCACCCCCCCTCGTACCTCAAATGATTTAGGCTAGGAGGCAAGGTGATCTACTTAACACCTTATTTGAATGGGTAAGTACAAATTTAAATTTTATTTGAAGTTTAAAGTAATTTACAAGTTTACAAGTTTCTAACACCATTAAAATCACAAGACTCATTAGTAGTTGCTTGTTATAGTTCCAAGGTAGTTTTTTTGTGTTCATTACACAAGAAAACTAGTATACCGAGTTGTTAGTTAGACATCTTATTCACATGTAAATATCTGATTTGAATACATATTCTTTTATATATATATATATATAGTTTCATTATGATAATTTCATTATTAGGTCTTTTGATTCAAGCTTGATCTTGTGGGACTTCCTTCAGTAGCCTAGAATAAGCTCTAATATATATTACCCCAATTGTCAGTTAAATGTCAATCTAATATTTAATTACAAATTAAAAAGAGTTGGAAGAAACTCAAAAGCGGTGAACATCTAGCTAGTTTTTTAGAGAATATTTGATGGATTGATAATTTTTTTATATTTTATTTTTACATTGCTAATAGATACTTAACATTATTAAAATAATTGTTTATTTTGATTTGATGTGTAATTATTTTTCTTATTAATTGACAATAATAGTTACAATAATTGTTATACATATTTGATAGTAATTATTTACAAAGTTATCTTGATATTTAATTTTGGATGTTACTTTATATATTATTATCTATTTTTTATTTATAAGTATGAGAAATTTTAAAAATGAATAAAATATTTGTCTTTTTAAAGAAAAATTCTACATTCTATGATGTGTGTGATCTTACTCATTATAAAAATTGTAGATTTTATGTTGAGTGTAGTCTCACGACACCCGACATATAACATGAGTGCTAATGTAAATTAAAATGTCATATTTGACACCCATATTATGATAGGAAATAACTACTCACTATAGAAAATGTACTTTTTACATATGATTTTAATCCATCATAGTATGTCACCAAGATCTATGATGGGGTCTAGAATAAATATAAAATGTTCAAAATAATTGATATAAAAAGTTTCATATGAGCATATAAAACCAAGCCTTAACTATTCACAACATCAACATGCATCCTAGCCACAAGAATCAATGCACAATCAACATAAAAACTCGACATTTTATGTTACAACATGCATACAATCACATCAACTTGGCTACTTGCACCATGCACGAACAATGAAGATATTTTATATGAGTCGTTTACTCGAATCAACCTTATCAGACATTAACAACTTTAGTCATTCAAGTATTATTGACATAAACATGGAAGATTCCGTATCACTAATCAAGTAAAAGAATAACTTGAATATGAACCTATTATAACATTGATATGCAAAACCAAACCGCATAAGTAAATTATAAACCTAGTACACAACAACTATTATAGTTTTGATATACATTAAATCAATTTATGATCAAATAATTTAAAGGATACTTTCAACAAAATTAATTAATGATGATAACGTATCATAAATATGTTGCATGGAAAATAAAATAGTATCATTCAATCAACACAAATTCTAAGTTCTTAAATTAATCTAAAAGATAATAAGTCAGAAATACAAAATATCCAAATAAAGTACAAATATTAAGTCAGAATTATATAAAAATCCATATGTAATCTAGATGTTATATAATAAAAGTATTTGAGCATTGAAAAAATATTGAAAATCACATAACTGAATCAATCTTCCTCAACGCTGCCTATTGGCGATGAATCTGTGCTGCAATCACCTATTTTGATATATAAAAAAAAGACATTAAAGCTAAATAAGTTAAGAGTTAAAAGTGTTAATTAATTAATATTAGTATCATATACAATGCAAAAGTAAGAAGACAAAACTAGCAAAATCAATTACTATATGACTTTACTAAATTGTAACAAAGAATGAAAAACAAACAGTGAACTTCTTATTGGTTAAAACTTAAATTAAAATTGATGAAATGGGGAATTTTTATAGAGATCAAGAGTGTTGTTGATTTGCTATTTTAGAATTCTTTTTTTGTGAGAAACCTTTTCGTACAGGTAAGTTATTTGCAATTAATATATTAAATAAACTAAATAATTCGATCAAACAATTTTTGAAACCAAACAATTTATTGGATACATATTCTAAGTCCGAAATCTTTTAAAGATAGAAATCATTTTATGTATAATTTAGAATATACATGTTTCATCAATTGTAATAGATCCAAAACCACTAATTACCAAATGGCAGTTTAGAATTTAATTTAAAAAATTGAAGTCAATAATATTTTTTCTATCTTAATGACTCTAATATATTCAAATCAACTGTCAGACCACAAGTTTACTGATAATAGTAGATCAATTAATAAAAAAAAGAACCACATTATTCATTACTAATAGAAATTATCCGAATATATAGTTTTTGAAAAACTACATATAAATCTAATTATACTGATTAATCAAAATTAACCGACAATGTCCAACCTCCAAACTATTAAAATAAAACAATGCATGTCAATTGTATAAAAAAGTAAATTATGGCTAACAATGAATCAGAGGATCTATATTATTTTATTTATGTAAAAGACTTAAAGGTATTTCTTATACCTCATCAATATATAATTTTTTTAATTTTTTGCTGTTCAAAAAAAAAATTGTATAAAAAAGACCTTAAGTTATAAGTAAACTCACCCAAACTAAATCCAAATAGAATTTATAATTAGAAATATAATTATATGGATATATATCGTGGAAGAGCTTAGAGCTCTCAGGTTGGTGTTAGGCCAGGCGCAAGCTGACTGCACCGAGCGTGAATATGTTCATAAATAATTGATTTAAATTGATGCTTATGCATGTTTAAAGTTGAAGTTTTAGATCATGTATGTATGATATATGATGTATGGTGAGGTGCGATTCATATGTATGCTTTATGATGATACGTATGAATGTTTGAATATGATATGACATGTGTATATGTTCATATGAGTATGTTTATTGATCATAATGGTGGGTAGACCATGTATGATGTATGATGCATAATTGCATGTGATATCTTATGACATGTGTATGATTGTTGATCATGATGGTGGGCAGACCATTGTAAATAATAATGATACTAAAACTCATATGCCTCATAACTCATAAGAGATTGTTTTAATTATAAAATGGTTACATTATAATTAAGTTTACCTAGTTCTTGCTAGATTACAAATACTAGATTAGATTATGACACAAATTGTTTATGTAATTTAAATATGTCAAAGGGATTGTTAAAAATGATGTTTGTATAATGTTATGTTATAGATGAATGAATAGAATGAGTGGTGATATTGTATAATGTTATGATGTATAAAATGAATGATGATGAGGTATGGTTGAGTTGATGAGATATAATGTTGATAGATGATGATGTTAAGCATGTAAGTTCAAGTTGTGACTGGTAATGATGAGATCCTAATTAATAAGACTTGGTGTGTTGTGGAGAAGTTAAGGGTTATATTTTGACAAAGAATCACCACATAATTATTGCATATATATTATGTTGTTGTGGTTTGTAGAATCCATGCATACATGTTTTGTTGCAAGGTAGTATGAGTTTATGCAGTAAGGTTTCAAAGGTCATTTACTTAAACCTTGGAGGTGTTATGGTAGGGAGCCTCTAACACACAATATAAGGTGACCATGGTCGATTGTAACACTTCAACAACATCCTTATAAACATCTCTTGGTTGAGGGTGGATCAAGGGGATCACTTGTGAAGGGGTGGTCCCATTCCATGACCCTAAGCTACCTTGATTTGGAGATGATGAGGTGATTGACATCACATGCATATAAGCTAATTACATGCATTGCATGAATATTATTAATGATTGAATTATCTTGAGTAAGATTAATGGATCTAGTTGATCTTGGATACATGTAATATGATTGGTATTTAAATGAGCCTTGATTTTGTAAATGTGAAATATACCTGTAGGGAGAACGTTAAAGTTATTATGTGCCTAGTTAATACTATCTTATGCCTTATATGTGTTATACTTGAATAAAATGTATTCTCACTCCCTGTGTAACTCTAGCTTACCCTTCTGTTTCCATGTGGATGGACTGCGATGATCATACTTGGTATGGGAGCAGGTCAGAGATAGCTTGGAGTAAAGGTGACCGCTGCGAGATGGGGAGTTTGAGCCTCGTGTTAGAGTTACCATTTTGGGTAACGATTTTTGTCTGTGCTTGACCGACACTAGGGAATATTTTGGGATGACTATACATATATGGTATTTTATTTTGTATACAGAAACTTAATTATTTTGATCCTTATATTTATGCATGTATGATATATGTTATCCAGATTTATATTCTCTTAATTAATTAGTTGTAGTGCGATTCCACTAAGTGTAGTGACCATGGCGAGTCGTTACACAACCCAAACACAAGGTTGTTCTCTTTTAACATTGGTGGGATTATAATAAGGTAGTCCATCCAAAAAATGACTCACTGAGAATATTTTATTTTAAATTTTTGATATATTTTAAAAGAAATATTTAATCGTATAACAGTAAAAGAAAATAAAGGTACAACATTAAAAACATTTTCACTAATTACCAAAGTCTATTTGTTACCTCATTAATCAACATACATTTTCTACAACATTTAGTACAACATGGTACAATATGCTTAAGAGTAAACAAAAGATTCTAAACTTCTATGTTCTTATCAAATTACCATACTCACTTGTGCTTGCTTCTTCATTGTCACACATGTTTTCTTTTGTTTTTCCTCTGCCATTTGTTTTACTACTACGCGGAGGTAAAATTCCATGAAACTCATATCTCTCAACTTCTTTTAGAGAACGACATGTCATTCCATTCTCCTTATGAATATAGAACTGAAAAACATCAATTTGTTAAAGTTGTTTTTATCACCAAAGTATATAAAATATTGTTGAGGAAAATATCAATAGCACTACAACCAACCAAATTTGCTGATCAAAAGAGTGCAAAAGGATAATTCTATGTTCTATATTCCATCATCAACTTATTTCAATTATTACTAAAGCACCACTAAAACTTTGTAAAAGTAAAACATAATAAATTGGATAAGCTAGAGAGAAGATGAAACAATGTAAAAAAAAAAAGCTTGTACCCTATCGATCCTTCCATCTTCTCGCTCTTTAGGTCGCATGAGCCACTTTGTAGCCCACGAAGGTAAGTATTTGTGATGATTAGACGAATTTGTCTGAATCTACACATAGACAGAAAAGGAATATGTAAAATAAAGCCTAAACCAACATGTTATTAAGAGAAAAGGTAATTTAAGGTAGAGGATAAGAAATAATATAGTAAAATTTAAAAAATATTCAAGACAATTGAAATTCTTATAATTTATGTCTTTCTAAAGACTATTTGACCTTAATTAAGGATCGACTCCACCTATGGCAAAAATAAAAATGAAAAAGTCAATGCATATAACAAGTCTCAAATTAAATGAATAAATACAAAATCTATAAAAAAAAGACATAATAATGATTATATCGAAATTAACCTTTTTCTTCTTTTTCTCAATTGAACTTGGTGAAGGCTTCATTGGCTTGGATAAGGATTTCTGTTTTTTCTCAGGACAGCTCGATGAAGGCATCTTACTCGACTTAGCTAATTTGTTCTTGGCTTTCGTCTTAAAGAAGGATATTGAAATGCCCTTGTTAGCAAGGTGGAGAAATTTGTTGAAAACTCTCTATTTTATGTTATTAGATGATATGGAATGAGAAATTAAATGATAAAACTAATTCACTTCCTGAATATAATTAGTGGATGTTATGCAAGCAATACGTAGTTGTTACATCTATCATTCATGCACAATATTATTACCAAGTGTGAACTTTTTACTGATGATTGTTGTTTTGATTTTGAAAAGCATTTATTGTGAATAAATGTGTGGACATTTTTTTATAATGTAATAAATAAAAATATATCCTATTAAATGAAAAAAAAATATAATCAAACATTTGAAAACATTTGACTTTTTAAGAATATTAATTTAAGTAATAATTATAAAAATATTTTTTTTTGACACCATATAAAAAATTATTATGATAACTAAAAAATTATTTATTTGACTTTTTTTTTTGTATAAAACAGTTATTATAATAAATAAAAATGAAATAAACATTAACTTTTGATTAATGGGTAAGAAATAAAAATTCAATTCTAACAATATTCATACAAAGAAGATAAAAAAAAAAAAGATTCTTTTGCATATAGATGAGCACATACGTTTATACACTATTTCAAAATGAATAATCACTGAGAATATATATTTAAGGACAAAGACATCAGCAACAAAGTCCATACAGAAAGATATATAAACATAAAAATTAAGTGTTTGGAGGTAAGCTTCATTTACCTTTGGAGAATTCATGATAAAGACCAAGGAAACTTGCAAAATAGCTTGAAAATAACCACCAAAATGCTTCCTTATGACCTAGTAACCACCAAGGTTTATGGACCCAAGATATATGAGAAAAACAAAATAAGTCAATAGGATGAGAGAAAAAAATGATGGATAAGACTTGAAGAATAGAAAGAGTAGTGTAGCTTAACAGATACTTTGAGAAACGATGAAGAAATGAAAGTATCTTGGATCTTTCAACTAAAAAGCTCTTAAGGTGTTGAAATTTTGATCTTAAAACAAGGAGAAGAGGTAAAAATAAGGCAGATGAGAGTTGTATGTCAGGGCATTAAAGAAAATTATATTAAGTTTAACTTTTATATAGATCTTTCTTATTAAATGTATACTATTTAATTTTTTTCATCTTTGACCAAAGAAAAATACATTTATGAAATAAATTAATAATATACTTAAATAAAACAATTATAATAATAAATAATTTATAATATTAAATGTGCGTATATATATATATATATATATATATATATATATATATATATATACACATATATTTAT